TTCTGCAAGCCTCCATCGATTCCGAGCTTCACCTTCACCAACCACATATAACTCGTAAATTAATACGTCTTTTCTTCATTTCGTCTTTTCATCTTTTGTTTATTATTTCCTTGTTTGCTCATTTATTCCTTTTTTTTGGTTTTCCTTGTTCTTATTTGTTGTTTCATGTTTATAGCTTTGAGTTTAGCTAAAGGTTCGTGTCACAAGTACTGTAGATAAGATGTAAATGTTAATGTAAATTTTAGACAAATACTAACTTGAGAAAAGTTTAAGAACAAAAATTGTATAAAAATACTCGAGTTTTTATTATCAATAAAATTGTTAAAATTTTTTATAAAAATCATTTTTACTTAATCACTTAAATTTTGCTTATTTACACAAAAATCGGATCCAATTAAATTATCTACTTTTAATTTAAAAAATGAAAGCTACTGCATCAACAAGCCATCAATCTTCAGAAACTGCATCGGCACTTAGTATGTATACAATAACCAAAATTGTACCTCATACGATATAAGCTCTATCTTGCGTGATTTCGTGCAAGTCATACTGTACAAGTCATTCATTATAATGAACACTTGACCTCAATATAGTGAAGTTAAACTCATCAATCTATATAAAGTTCACTTGTAGTGAATTACTTCACTATAGCAAATTTGACTTGTAATAAAATTAAAATTATTTAGCCCACACAAATCATGCAAAATCGAAAATACAGTCAACACTTTCTAATTGCAACATCTCTAAATACATCTTTAAATTCTGGCCTATGTATATGCTTAATCTTAATAGTTCTTTAAATAAAGTTCGGTCCTGGCTAATTGCATTAGAGAGTATTAACTGTAATATTTTTGCTATCTTGCGCGAGTTGCATTTCTAAATTTTAATACTTGTAATTATTATAATAGGCTTAGTTAAAAATTAATTATTTTTTTATTAATAAAAAACATAAAAATAATAGATACTATTCAAATTATTAATGCTAATGAACTTGCAAATGACAATGAAATACTGCTAGATGGACTATTTGATAATTTTGATCAATTTATAAATAAAATACGTGAAAACTTAGATACAGACTCACCAATCCCTAAAAAGCTTTTATCATCAGAGGCTATTCCATTGATTCGTGAAGAAGGATTGCATCGAGGAAAACCACTAGAAGGCTCAGAGTATCTTTTTCCACTAAATACGGATTTTGAAGGTTGGATCAAAGATTTTGAAACTGTAACGGTATCAAAATATATAAAACATCAGGAAAATCAATCAGTAAATGGAACTTGTACTTACTATAGATGTCACCATGGAGGAACATATAAAAGTGTAGCTGGAAATAATCTAAGTGATAAAAAATCAAGAAAAATTCAAAAACAATCTATAAAATACAGCTGCAAATCACAACTAGTTGTTACTAAAACTAGCGGTCCTGGTATGCCGCAAATAATTGTAAAATACATACCACATTCAGAGCATATCCCTGATTCTATCGAGGATATAGGAACGTTAAAGATTTCTCAAAAAGTTCAGGAATGGATTGCTAATAGTATTCGTGCTGGGTTAAATATTAAGGGAATATGCCAATTATTTCAAAAAAGAGCCTGAGACATAGAGAAAACTTGGCAAGAGTGAAGATCGGATGACATTGTTAAAATTCGGGACAATTTAATTACACGAGACGATATATATAATATTTAGAAGGAAGTAGTAATGGAAGAAAAAATGTTATATAAATTGGAAAGCCAAAGTTTAGAACTTTAGAAATTTAAAATTGAAGAAAATTATGACCTTATATGTTCAGTTCCGCAGTCGGAAGATGTTATTAGAAGACTTTTTGAATTTACCATCCCTATTAGAAGAGAAATTATTCAAGATGTGTCGACAATCCTTCTCGATTCAACACATGGAACAAATAAAGATAACGATCTTTTGTTTACTTTACTTTTGCCTGATCCTAAAACCGGTAAAGGGGTTCCAATTGCTCATCATCTTTTTTCTAAAAAAAACACTAAATCGATTCAATATTGGCTTCAATGCCTTTGTCAACAATTTTTTAATTGGAAAGGACCTGTGGTATTTCTTGTAGATTGTGACCCCGCACAAATAAAAGCACTTCGCATAGTGTTTCCTAAAAGTAAAATTTTTATCTGCTGGTGGCATCTTATGAGAGCTTGGCAGGAAAATATAAGAAAAGTATGTAAGGATAAAGAAGAAATTATGAATTGTAAATTA